CCCCGCCGAGGCTCCCGGCGACGAGCTGCTGCGCCCGTCCCTGGTGACACTGGATCCCCTCCGCCTCTTCTCCAGGGCCGGTCCCTCCGTGGCCTCCCGCCTCGGCCACGCGTGGGCTCGGCGGCCCCGCGGCGCTCGGCGGCTGCTGGCAAGCCCACGGGTGCTGCCGGCTCTGCCCCGCGGCTCCGCATCGGTGTCTGCTCCCCACGGCAGCTGGCGGGAGGTGCTGTGCCCGAAGGGGGGAAGGACGGAGCCCAGCAAGCACCGAGGCGCCGTGTGGACAAGTCACTCCCTGGGTAAAAACGTAATTTCAAATGAAAAAAAAAAAACAACAAACCACAACTGAGAGATACGGCCCGGAGAGCGGCGGGCTGCTCAGTCATGCTCTAACAAACACGCAATTAATAGATACAGCCGCTGATTAGTAGGCAGTTACTCCTATTGTAGACGGTGCTCAGCGGGAGAAAAAAGCAATCGTGTGCACCAGGAGGAGCGTGGCGTTCCGAACAGGGCGCCTTCACCCCACGGCCAGCACCCACGCGTGCAGCAGGCGGGCTTCCCACTGCACCCTATTCCCTCACTTGTCAGGATGTCGCCAGTATAAAACTGCTTTGTTTGGTTTGGGTTTTTTTTTTCCCCTTTGTTTTTTGGTTGTTTTTTTTTTTTTTTCCTATAACCGAGCTAAGGGAACAGTTGCCAAGAAACTGTGGGCTTTGCACTCTGAGGTGTCCTTTCCAAAGATGACGACATGGAGCGCGGCACTTATGAAAGCACCTGATGTGAGCAAGCTTATTTTTTAACACAATAAACCCTTATCTGAGACGGATTTAATCCTTCCCGCAGTGGGTGGTGGCAACATTAATAAAGGACGTATAGGTAGAAGGAGGCAGCCAGCAGTAGGAGGACAGGCAGAGCAACCCCTTTGCCAGGGCTTGGGGAGAAGCAGGAGCTGACAGCGATGAGGCAAAGTAAAATTGTCCACATCTGCATGAAGCAGGCTGAAGGCAACACAAGGAAACGAGACGAAGAGATGTTTGCAGATCCAGGAAACTTCACAGTGATAAAAAAAACATGGAGACATGGGTCTTGTTTTTTCTACTCATAATTTTGAAATAAGGATATTTATGGGGCATTTTGTAACCTTTCCTTTTTTTTTTTTTTTTTTTTTTTTTTTTCATTAGATTATGGAATAGTGTCTCAGTTTGAACGAGTATGAGTTACATATCTGGATAAGGAGTCTAAAAAAAAATCCAAAAAATGTATGCCTCACACCCTTTTTTTTTGTGTTAACATTCAGTGCTCGTGCTCATGTTTCACTGGCACAAATTCTTATGAAAAATGAATTTCAAAGTAAACTGCCAAAGTATGTGAAACAACCCAGCTTTCTCTTAGCAAATAAAATTATTTGTGCCAAAAGTACTCTTGAACTCATCCAATTAGGGAACAGCAAAAAACCATAAAGAGAGACTATTTGTAAACAGTCCATTGAATTAAAGGAAAAAATAATAGGATAATAAATAATTAGAAAGAGCTTTCATCTCTACGTGGATATTCTAAGTGGAAAAAAAAAGTACTGCCAAGACCCAAGTATGTAACTGTATTTGCTAAAAAAAGGTAATTAATAATTATTGGTTGAGGCCTAATAAGTCATAACATTCATAACTATGATGTATCCAAGGGATGACAGCAAGCCAGCACACCCATGCACACTTGCTAAGCAATCTATTTGTCATAAGGGAATCATACCCTGTAGTGATTCTACTTGTCAAAAAGCAAAGATGAGGGATGTCTTTCCTCCCCCCAGTCTGGTTCCACAGAACATATTTGTCCCATCTTTCTGGCTGAGAGTCAATGTCTCCAGTCTCTTCTCAAGACCCCACTTGTAAAATGAGTCCTGTCTCTTTGAAATATTTATACATACTACGTCACCTATATTTCACAGCTATGTTAAGAGGTAGACAGTCTCTGGGACAGATGTGGTATTCAAAGCGAGCAAACCATATATAGCACAATGTCACCAGGCAAGAAACGATTGAAGAACTGTGTGAGGCCAAGGTCCAGTTGCAAGAACATTAATTCTCTTTGTGTCAATGTTTTCATACTATAGTCTGGTGCAGTCTGTCATTTATTTCTTTTCTGGGATGATGCAGCTATCTCTGGGCCCCAGTGATCTCTTGAGCTTATGGCCTGACATTTCTGTCACCTCTTTCCTGTTCATTTTCTTCTCAGCACCACATCCAAGAATGTTTCCAGGATCTCTGAAGTTTATCTCTTCCTCCCCTCCCTCCCTACACACACATATGGAAGTGAGTACAGCCCAGCTGGAAGCTTTGCTGCAGCATTTCCCTTGCTATGGCTCACTAAAAGGGAGTAGAAATAGAAAGAAGGGAAGAGGAACACAATGTGCCATCTTAAGGGCAATAGGCAAAGCCAGGGAGACTCCAAATGCTGCAAGAGAGGTAAGAGTTGAGAAGGGGAAAGCTGGAGGACTCCTTAGCACTGCAGCAGAGATGTTAGCAGGGAGATGGGAAAACAAGGGAATTCTAACTGCAGCACAAGTCTGCATCGAGGAGCTGAGCACGCAGGGTTGCTCCTGAGATGCCGCCGTGCCAGGCTGAGCTGGGGCAGGCTCCGCAACACCACAGCACGGGGGCAGGGGTCCAACCCGAGGCAGCGAGACAGGGCAGCAAGAGAGCCAAAGAGGGGGAACAGGAAAAGGCGAGGAAAAGCCAGTGTGTGTGTGTGTGTGTGGGGGGGAAGCCCCATTCAACTGCTATAAACAAACTAGGGGCAACAGCACCAAGTACTCTGCAAAACATGAACTACTGAACGATGAGAAAACGTAGGCAAAGCTACAATGATGGGATGCAGTTAAACTGTCCACTGTCTGTTTTCTTTCTGTTTAATTGGTCTTCACTGGAAAATTGGAAAAAAAAAAAAAAAAAAAAAAAAAAAAAAGCTGGTTTGTCATTCTGAAGTGCTGGAATCAGCATCTCTTTGGGGAAAAAAATTCCCCTAGCCTAGAGGACTGCTTCCCACCATTCTTAACACTGGGCTGATGCTGCTACTATCCCAGATCCTCCTGGGTATCTTCTGCTTTCTGTATGAAGCATGCCGAGATAGGGCTATAAATCCCCAGGGCTCTGCTTTGCTGTCCTCAGTTCTCCTCATCTCCACTCCAGGGAATACACCTATGTTGTGCTCGCTTTCTTCCCAGATCATTTTACAACACTAGTAATACCCCTGAGCCTCTTGTGTATTCTCTGCTTTTTTGATTAGCTCTCCTCATCACAGAGAGTGTTTGGTACTGAAAGGAGTAATGGAGTCCATCTCTGTACTGAAAGGAGTAATGGAGTCCATCTCCATTCCTTACCCAAGGTACTCATCCTGCCTGAGTTTTACCACCCTTCCTGCCTGCACTTCCCTGATGCAGCCAGTCTCAGGGCCATGCTGAGTTTTCTGGCAGCTGGTTGCTATTAATTGGATTTTGCCATTCCTGCCTTTACCCACTTACACTTTGACAAACTTCTGCTTTCTGGTTAAGGCTTATGTGAAGGCCGTTTCAGTCCCTTGCCCCTGTTATCTCAATTTGTGGCCACTCTTCTTTCCTCAACTCAAATGCTCTCTCTCTCTCTCTCACACACACACACACACCCACCCCCACACCCATCCCACTTGTGCACTAAACCCACAGGCTTTTAACTCAACATTCTCTACCAATCTCTGCTTTTTATCCAATATATCTAGTTTGCCAGAGATCCTGCTGTTTTCCTGCTCTTGTGCTTTAGAACAGATAGGGGCTGGCATTGGGGCACAGACAAGTGTCTCAGCATCACTGGGGAGCATCTTTTTCCTGTTGCACCCTTTCTTTGATGTTTTTTTCCTCTCTGCCTCCTTCTCCTCCTGCATTCATGCTTTCTTCTTCTTTCCCACCCTTCCTTTCATGTGTAAAAAGTGAGTTGAAAAAATGTCAAGCTAGTGCTGGTCAAAGAAACTTGTTCTCCCTTACCTCTGCTTCATTTCACTGCCTCAGCTCCCCTCTCCTAACACACGTCTCCCATAGTGCGCTGGAGAGGGATGCTTTTTCACAGAGAGCGGATACAAAGGGTTTGTTCATAATTCTCCCCTGTTCTTTCTCTCTGCCACTGCCAGCAAAGGGTGCATCGATTGCAGCTTTTGTCGCTGCCAGGCAGATGATCTGAAATGTGTGATCTCTGCCCTGCGGTGGAGGTGGTAGTGCTGGGGAGGTTAAGGAGCTACTCCTAAAGCAGATGCCTTCAGCCAAAGGGTTGTGTTTGAACTAGTTGTCAGCACTACCAGGAGACTCTGCTACTTGAATTTCCCTTGAGAGGTTTTCAACACAATTCACAGCGTGGTAATGATTGATTGATATGAGCCAAAGTAAAATTTACACAGGACAACTCTCAGATGGGACCTTGCTGTTTAGACCTTGGTGGAGACAGACTTTGGCCACAGATAATACATTATGTCTCCCATAGCCTGACATGAGGAGGAAGCCATCCTGGAGATGTTTTTGTGGAAACACTCAGGCAAGGCTGTGGGCTCACATGCCCTGAGACCTCTTGTTGGTGAGAAAATACCCCAGCTGGTACCTCCTCACTTCAGTTGCGCAGCAGCCACACTCGTTTTGGGGAAACTGATCTATTACCAATACATTGACTTAAAATTACACATAGGATGTTCCTCAGTCCTTGACTGTCCTCAGAGAGAGACACCCTCATTTCAGGAAGTTGAGCATCTCTGTTTTGGATGTGAAAAGGAAGCTGCAGAG